CAGTACCTTTAATAGTTGTGAGTCAGTACCTTTAATAGTTGGGAGTCAGTTCCTTCAATACTTATGAGTCAGTTCCTTCAACAGTTGTGAGTCAGTTCCTTCAACAGTTGTGGTTCAGTTCCTTCAATAGTTGTGATGCAGTTCCTTCAATAGTTGTGAGCACTATTGATGTTGCACAGGGGAGGACACGTGAAAGGAATGAAAGATTCAGATAGGGAATTCAGAATAAAGTTGTTCAGCTAGTATACCGTAGTATGTAAGAAAGCGTTGAAACCTAGATCAGCAGATAAATTAAAACTTGTAATAACAGAGACCCAACAGACACGTGTACATGCGTTTGAGCTTGTAATACACAAAATGTAATTTCTTGATCACGATGATTGGCATTTCAACTTCTTCTCTTCCTTCAATGCGACATTTAGTCAGTGGTGCCAGACTACTGGCACATACATGAATCAAGTGATCAACAACTAGATGGAACACACTGGACTTGATTCTTTACAGCCTGTCGTGAAATACCTTGAAAACTTCTGGCTGATGTTAACAATGTCACCCACTCTTACATCTCGGTACCACTGCACAATAGACATTGACGCTGATTTTCTTTTTTAGTGGGACGACAACAAGTCTGAACAGTTTAATGGAAATTTACTCTCAGATAATATTAACTTGCTACAAAAATGTCTATTGGTTATGAATACTGATATCAATGGTGCCATTGCCTTGTTGACTGAAGCCAGTTGTCAAGCTGCTGACTCCTATTGTCATCGATTCTAACTATGGTTTGACAGGGATTGTTATTAGTTTCGTTGAGAACATGGCATGCTTCGTAAAGTATTTAGAAAATATGTGAACATTTTCTGGGGGATTGTCTGTCAGCAAGCATTGCAGCTACTGTAAGAAGAATGCGTTGCATGTATATCAAAAATATTACACTAAAACCGATGGCTGGTCTGTAGAGGTATACTCTAAATAGATTTACAGTTACCTCAACTGCAGTCAAACCTAAAATTAACCCACAGGAGCGATATATACCTCTAATTATGAATCTGATGATGTTGATAATTTCGGAGATAGTAATCATAGTCATGACTTATTTACTGCTGATATTGTGGATGCATCTTTAGCTCACGATTTTATTTAAATCACCATCATATGACGACATAATTGCCGTGTTTATCAACAATTTGATAGTAGTGGATTCAATACATCTTGGTCTGTTGTTTTATTGTCCTATCACATGAAAAGGGAGATTTACACATCTACAGAGGTATTAAGTAATTTAGCAAGCGTTTTCAGATAATAAATCTTTTGGGTGATGCTGATGAAAACGTTTCAGAATCGTTTTCTGAAGTGCTACGCTACCCTTTAGGTAAAAAGGGGTAAAGTTTATACCTTATTTGTTGACTTTTCTCAGGCATTCGATATGGTTGATATGTTTAAATTATTATTATTCTCAGAACACATTTTTAATGTCTGTGGGCTATCTGTTAAACATGTGTAAGAGTTGCTCGTCGGATATGTTTGAGGTGATCGTCGGTGTCCGTCTGGGCTGTGGATTGAGTCAAGGTATGTTTGAGGTGATCGTCGGTGTCCGTCTGGGCTTTGGATTGAGTCAAGGTATGTTTGAGGTGATCGTCGGTGTCCGTCTGGGCTGTGGATTGCGTCAATGTATGTTTGAGGTGATCGTCGGTGTCCGTCTGGGCTGTGGATTGAGTCAAGGTATGTTTGAGGTGATCGTCGGTGCCCGTCTGGGCTTTGGATTGAGTCAAGGTATGTTTGAGGTGATCGTCGGTGTCCGTCTGGGCTGTGGATTGCGTCAATGTATGTTTGAGGTGATCGTCGGTGTCCGTCTGGGCTTTGGATTGAGTCAAGGTTTGTTTTCCACTGTAAATGATACGGGAATTCAGTTGCACGCTTATTTAACTCTTGTTTTATTTTGTTATTCGCAGACGACAAGGTTCTACAAAGAAGTATCGATATGCTACAATAATATATTTATGATTATCATCTTAGTGTTAATCTAGATAAAAGTAATAGTGTTATTTTCAAAAATAGAGGGGTACTTTCAAAATGGCAGAGGCGGCATTATCGGAAAATTCCTATTGAATGTATTACATCTTACAAATGTTTAGGTTTAACTTGCACACGAAATAGGTCGTGGAATAAGCGCATTGACAGTGGTATTAAGAAGAAGAAGATGTTTATTCATGTGTTGGATAAGTATACAAATAAGTTGGTAGCAACAGTTTTCTGCTTTCTTGATCGTACGGACAAACGAATAAAAAGGGAAATTCATCTTGAATGACGTTATAATTACATTCTGTACACTTCAGTAATTCAGTATTTACATTTTTACATTGCTGTACATCAAGTTTGACAGTGGTATTTGCAATTCAAATGGGTATTTTGTTATTTAATGAGTTTCGTGTTATTATTCAGGCCTTGTTATGGTTAAGTGCCGAGTTGTTGTATTTTGTTTGCTGTTTAACGCCCAACTCAGTTTTCCAGCTATATGACGGCAGTCTGTAAATAATCAAGTTTAGATTGGACAGTCCAGGGATTGACATCATGATCATCGATCTACACAATTGGCCTATGACAGCATGTGTCAACCAAATCAGCGAGACTGATCACCCGCCTCTTACGACAAGCAAGGGTTGCCGAAGACCAATTCTAACCCGGCTCAGTTGCTCAAATAACCATAGGTCGTCTTGGGGTGAGAAACATACGGTTGCAATATTTTAATAATTTGCTCAACTTCAGTTTAGTCAGTTTTGGGTAGTTTATCAGTGAACTGATTCTCATTTTCTTTCATTGCATTTCTCAGAAACGATTTCAATAAGTCCGACATAAGGCCAGGATTATCGTCTTCATCTTAATGTGAAAATAATAAATCACATTTGTTTATTTCATAAAGCGTGAATGAAGTGCCATCCATAAAAAACATGTCATCAGAATGATTATAAATGACAAGAAGAATCCATAAAGTTTAAAAAATGAAAATATTTTAACATTTTCACACATTCCATAAAATTTCATGAAGTAGGATTCATTCACTCTGTCAGCCTGATGACAATAACAAAGTAACATTGACGTGACGTTGCCATGGCAGCTGTTTAATATTTGTATTCGAGCAAAAAGTATCGCAATTGTTAATACGCACGAAATGAGGATGTATATTTCCTCTACACATGTGTCAATATCCGATTTCCCTGTGGATTATTAAAGAAAAAAGCATCATCGCAAATGCTTCATGACAGATTCGGTCCTGTTACTGGCTATGAAAAAGCTTTGTTATGGCACAAGGTTGCCATATCATGAAAACTTTCACTGTCTAATCCCGCGAGACTGCAACGAGACTCCGTGGAGACCCATACTTAATATGGTTTACTGCCACCTGGGCCCCGTTCAACAACACAACTTCAACCTTACGACGCCCGAACCACTAATATTTTAACAGGAGCAACAAACCTAGCACTGCCGTGTCCGGAATACTGAACAGGGGCGTTTTGATACATGACAACCCCCCTTAGTCATAAGGGTAATATCCGACTGTTTTACAGGTGAGAAATATCACGGATCACAAACTTTAATGGCGTTTGTCGGAAGAGCCATAAATTTGTAAATGGTAGTTAATGAGAATATATATATTCGCCTTCATGACTCGGGTTACGAAGAGGTTATCATGCAAATAATGGCGACCGGAAGCTCAGAATATAGGAATCGATAGGCATCACTTGAGCTCTCCCCTGCGACAGCCGTGTCAGGAATAACTGTTACGTGGTCCAGGATTCCAGTATTAAATCAGCCAATCACAAGGGTCAACAGTCAGACTTGGATTTGTTTCATTACGCCGACTATTTGAAACGCGACATTCCTTGTCAAGGTAATTCCCGACGTCGTTGCCAGGCAACACACTATTAGCGCGAGACAGACAGGATGATTTGAGGATTAATGATATCGTTATGAGGCCATCGTTTGCTGAGACGGATTGGAGTTGTGTTCACCTGACATAAGGTTGGTTGTTACAGCAACACTGAGGTGAAGTCGTGACGCGTCTCTGGGTATCTCAGTCGCAGTTTTTGTCTTGCGTTTTACATATCTAACGGTCGGATGAGTGATCAGATGTCTGCTCGGATATCGACGATCAAGACATTTTTAATTTGCCCGTCTTGTTTGTGCGTCAGCTGTACGATGTAGTAAATTACCGATTGCATTTTTTCAGTTCTTTCTCATTTTTTTGGGGTGAAATAAGAATCTATAGCGACAAAGGCTGCTATCTCAACTTATGTTCTGTGGGTTTTTTCTACTATCAGATTCTAAAAGAATTCAAATGAGGTAGAATTTATTGGGAATTTCAATATCTTTATGACTCGTCATAATCTGCTTTGTATCCTGAGAACAGCAGGGGAATAATTGAATATCAAATGATGGGACACGCCGCTACATATGGAAGCAGGGTGAAGCCGGTTTATAGAAAAAGAATCGGCGAAGGTCAGTAAAATCATCTAGTTCTCGAGGAAGGTCATGCAAAGGCACGCCATTGTTGGAATGTTGGTATATATAGGAACAGTCTTGCATTGGGGTATCAACCGTATTTGTGAATGTTCATGACAGATACCTTACCAGTTCTAAATCCATCGATGTATCATTGAGTCATTGATAAATGATTGAGTCGGACCTCTTGAAGATTTATGTTTCCTTGGTTTGAGCTTTGTGTTTTTGAGTGAGTTTAACAGTTATTCAGCTTCATCAGGGCGGCGGCTCAATGTCGGGGTTAACCAACACTATCGAAGATTATACTGCTAGGGTTCTACTATGGAGAAACCAACGAGCATGGTGTTACCATGACAGTGTGATGGGTGAGTGAGTGAACGCAGTAACAGTAATCCCATGTCCCTTGATGATGTTGGAGGACATCCCTAGCTGATTACGGTATTACACGTTTACCACTCACAAGCAGAAACATAATCGAGATTCGAACCGGAATTCAAATTCACTGGTAAAGGTTTCTGGCGTGCTAAAGGGAGGCAACTCTGCAGAGTGGACTGTTGCAATCCGTACCCACAGACACGTCACTGGGTGAAAAGGAAATTAAAAAATAAGACTTAGTATAGTCATACCATATTTAATACTTTCCCCTACTGATATCCCGTTGCACAATTACTATCAGAGAACCGACCTCAGCAGACTGACTGCGCACCATATTTCCGTTGAATATGAACACAACAGATAAAGTTTGAATGTAAATGCATACCTTAGAAAACTATGAGATATTGTTTTCCTCGTAATGTTGAGTTCTGAATGCTTGAACACATTTCGGAACAATGCTTCAAATATATTTTTTGCATCGTGTATGCTTCGTTGGTTATTTGCGGTATTATTTACGCTGTAACGATAATATGCACACTGCTGTGGTCTACTAGCACAAACACCCTGGGAAAAGTCAACAGCTGTTATATGGATTGACGTGAAAACATTCAACAAATCCAATGAAAGCCTATAAAATTTAGATAAACTCCAGCCGACATATAGTCATGTCGGGACGGGTCGCCCTGACTGTGATTCCGACCTCCAGGGCGCACATATTGAACTATGTCCCAACTCTGTTCCCACATTGAGGCTCCAGGGCAGTAAAGTGCACAGCGGTCAGATCTGACGAGCCGAAACTCCATACAGCGCATGCACGGATTTGGAGCTCTGACAGCACATTTTGTCGATTTGAAATGGTCTGCTGCCATCACGCACATTCTGTCACTCCAGGGACCAGGCCAAATGTGCTGACATTGTACTCCATGCTAGAATATAACGACGGAATTCAGTGCAAATTACTTCCTATTAGGTCCTAAAGCTCTATGAATGAATGTGTCAGTTAAATACAGGTTTGTACAACATTTACGCTGTATATCGCCTTGACAGCTCACTATGGCAGAGACACATCATGGACGATTACTTTGGTGTATAAAATGACAAAGCTGTGTGCATAATTATTGCGAATGTTTGCCAAACGCGAGGGCGTGTGTGCCCAGACTTGGTCAGGCTGACCTCATATAACTAAATGAAAGCCCAAAACCATTCGTTAACCACTGATTTAAATATTCCGACCATATCATAAGCATATGTTCGTAAACACCTATCAAACTGTCGTTTAACGCCGCACTCAGCAATGTTCCAGCTGTAAATATTCGAGTCTGGAACAGACTATAGGGTAAGTGACAGCATGAGCATCGATCATGTGGCAGGTCATCAAGCAGGTCACCGAGCCTGGCCTCCTGTTCCTGTTGCCGCTTCTTACGACAAGCATAGATTGCTGTAGACCAATTCCAACCATGATCTTCAAGGGTTTCAATCAAAGTGTGATGGCATCAGGTCTTAACAAAAAGGTCATCATACATTCACCAACAGGGTGGATCCCGTCACCTTCACTTAAAAAGGCAAATTAACTGTTTTCATTACAAACAAACAACAAGGAAACACGTGGTGCAAATGAAAATGATAAATTGCTCCCAAGTCACCGATTCGTCACATTTGGATTAGTATCCTCTACAGGTTTTTACAATAAACCCTTTCTGAAAGCTGAGCAAGGATATACAGCTGACAGACCAAGGATCATAATCGGGATTAATAAAGGATTAAAGTAATACTCAAGGCGAGTTTCGGAGCTTTGGAGAACGGACCACAAACTATGACAAAGGTATAAACATGGCAAATCTGTTTGAGATGGGATTAGGCTATTTAAAAGATGAATTCGAAATGACAATGTGATCTCACAGTTATGTATAATAATTCAGTAACAGTCGGGTATCAAGCTGACCATACAGGGTGGGTCAAGGAAAACCTAATTTTGGAAATGTTCCTCATGCTGAATGTTTCTGGACTTTACAGTGAGTGAGTGAGTTTGGTTTTACGCCGCTTTTAGCAATATTCCAGCAATATTACGGCGGGAGACACCAGAAATGGGCTTCAGACATTGTACCCATGTGGGGAATCGAATCCGGGTCTTCGGCGTGACGAGCGAACGCTTTAACCACTAGGCTACCCCACCGCCCTCTGGACTTTTCATGTCATGTAACAATGATATGATAAGCAATGGCGATGTGTAATGAAACTGTGTACTGTAATATTGTGTATTTAAAATGTAATTTGTGTCAGTACATGGAATTGTAGGTTGTGGATAAAGACTGCGCTGCACCCGTGAAGATCCGGGTTAGAATTGGTCTTCAGCAACGGAAGAGGCGACTAACGGGATCGGGTGGTCATTCTCGCTTACTTGGTTGACACATGTCATTGTATCCTAACTGATCGATGCTCATGATGTTGATCACTAGATTTTCTGGTTAAGACTCGATTATCTACAGACCGCCGCTATATAGCTGTGTGGCATTAAAGAACAATAATCAATCAATCAATGTTTGATGGTGGCTCAAAACTTTTCAGTTAGTATAATATTAACCACGGGAACTTCCTTCAGACCAAAGATCTACGTCATATGTACCTGGTACCCGTGTGCGAAATACGCATCACATCAGAAAGCGCACGTTAAATCTGCAAATCATCACCAGGTATATGTTTAATGCCTTTTGAGGACAAATGGCGTATTTGATATAACTAAACTACATATTTTCTAACTTGCCTTACAAATGCTTGCCTGGTTTACGGATCGGTCGATTAAATGAGCACAACGGTATGGATGTCTTTTACACTCTTCAAAAAAAAGAAACGCATAGGTGGGACCTCCAGCCCACTGTCCGTATATCTAAAAACATGATCTAGTCTGTGGGACATTTTGATTTTGGAAACACTTCTTTTGGGAATATCCAATTCATGATAGTATGGTTGACGAATGCAAGGTCTGCTTGGAGAGACATGCTGAGTCCTGTTTTATGCCGCGCTTAGCAACATCAGATGTTGGCTTCACTGATTGTATCCTTATAGGGAATCGAATTTTAGCTTTTGGCGTGACGAGCGAAGATTAGGCTTCCCCGTGTCTGCATGATGTTACTTGCCCTAAAAGCACGGCTCGGAGGCGTTTGTATGACAGGTATCAGGTGTAAACGTTTAGATGATTTCAAACATTTCGCAAAAACAGAACAGCTTTTAACTTGGCATGATGTATTTCATATAAGCAGCTGCTATTGCCTGCTTGTATTGCGCATAAAATACATGCATTGCATGCTCAAAGCGCTAACAGGTATCAGGGGAAAGTTGGGTTTTGAGTTTGCGTTTGAAAAGTTCATATGAAGAAATAGTTCTGAATTCCGTGGGGAGAGAGTTCCAAAGATGTGCTGCTGCAAAGTGAAATGATCTGTAGACAGAAGTTTTCAGTCTATATGTGGGCACTTGAAGTTGAAGCTGGGTGCTGAACCGCAATGACCTTGAAGGGGTATACACACAGACAAGGTCTTGCAGATACTGTGTAGCTTTCCCGTACACACACACTGGTGGGTCAATACTAGCACTTTATACTCAATCTGTTGTTTGACAGGTAGCCAGTGGAGCTGTCTGAGTATTGGTGTGGGAGTCCCTCTTTGCTCGAACTACAATTAAACACTTAAGTAAACCACAAAAGTAAAGCCTTTCTGTTAGCGTCACTTAAATATATGATATTATTATGAAGGCACCTAAGGCCAAACGAATACTGCGTTTCCTGCGAAATATCTATAGAAATGTTGGGTAAACCACATGGGCGAGCTAGCTCTCAGACAGCACAATGCATTTGGTTGATGTAGGGAGATAGAGAAAACAAACATACGAGCAACCTCTTTCGACAGATTTATTGTACTTTACATGTACTTCACTTAATTTTAATTATTAACACTTACATTATTTAAAACTGTGTTCATAGGGTTAGGTTTATGGAGAAAAAGTCGCAAAATGTAACTTTTGAAGAATACATGTGATCATTTAATGTCAGTAAAGCACCTATAGGTAGCGCCATATATAGGAAGTGCTTACGTTCTATGACCTACGGCCTCCATCCCAACCTCAATGTCATAGAGGTGATGCAATTGTCAGCGGGCTGCGAGGAGAATCAGTAATCGATACTTTGATAAAATGCATTTTGCTCTACTCGAGTTGAACTGTTGTCCGAATGTAGTTGCGCGGAAACAACGACAGTCATTGATAAGTGCGGCAGGAAATCACTGGCTGTGATGCAGAAGAATTTGAATCGAGCAACGGTACAATTCCACTGGCAGACTAATCATGGCAGACAGACGTATCATAGAACCTCAGACGACTAATCAACATGGCACGACCTGTACAGACGTATCATCATAGACCTGGTACAGGCACGTTAGACGGTACAGACTAATCATGGCACTGCCTGGTACAGACCAAACCCTGGTACAGACGTATCATAGCATAGACCTGGTACAGCCTGGTACAGACGTAACATGGCACTGCCTGGTACAGACGTATCATAGCATAGACCTGGTACAGACTAATCATGGCAGACTAATCATGCACTGCCTGGTACAGACTAATCATAGCACTGCCTGGTACAGACGTATCATAGCATAGACCTGGTACAGACGTAACATGGCACTGCCTGGTACAGACGTATCATAGCATAGACCTGGTACAGACGTATCATAGCATAGACCTGGTACAGACGTAACATGACACTGCCTGGTACAGACGTATCATAGCATAGACCTGGTACAGACGTAGCATAGCATAGAAGACCTGTTTACAATACATACAAATCATGAGAAACCTTACGAGTATTGTTTCCATTCTGACCTTTCTTCCAACCTCGTTGGTCTAATGTGTTAGGAAGCTCTGTCACCAGGTGGCTGGCTAGCCTTCTAATTGCTGATCGCAGCAACAATGTTGACAACAGCAGCAGCATTTAGTCCGGATCTAGTAGTAATGTTGATGTGCAGATCTGCTGTGGGCTGACAGTCCCGCCTCACCACGCAGCTAATGGTTGCTAGGCTGTAGCCACTTTCCGGCATCCAAATGGAGAATTGTCAATCAAAGAGGATGTTGGTGAATTAGGAGCACTTGCTTCATGGTGTATGTCAACCGAGCTGAGATTTGCTCTGTAAACACTGATTTATTTCAGGAGAAACAGAATCACATGACCCCTAAGAGATCCCAGCACTAAAAGTCTTACAGCTCTTAGTGCACGTGTACCCCGCTAAGGCTAACCCGATACACTTGCCACATCGCTCTTCCCACCTAAGGCTAACAGCAGGGCCCGTTTATATTGAACAGGTCTTAAAGTAGGACACGTGTCCACTCTCGTGTTGCCCCACAACCCTATCACACAATGTCCCACCAAGGACTTACAGTAGGTCACGTGTCCACTATCAGCTTGCCTAACACCCTTTCCACACAATGTCCTACCAAGGACTTACAGTAGGTCACGTGTCCACTATCAGCTTGCCTCACACCCTATCACACAATGTCCTACCAAGGACTTACAGTAGGTCACGTGTCCACTATCAGCTTGCCTCACACCCCTATCACACAATGTCCTACCAAGGACTTACAGTAGGTCACGTGTCCGCTATCGTGTTGCCCCACAACCCTATCACACAATGTCACACAATGTCCTACCAAGGAGTTACAGTAGGTCACGTGTCCGATCTCGTGTTGCCCCACAACCCTATCACACAATGTCCTACCAAGGACTTACAGTAGGTCACGTGTCCACTATCAGCTTGCCTCACACCCTATCACACAATGTCCTACCAAGGACTTACAGTAGGTCACGTGTCCACTATCAGATTGCCTCACACCCTATCACACAATGTCCTACCAAGGACTTACAGTAGGTCACGTGTCCACTATCACGTGTCCACTATCAGATTACCTCACGTGTCCACACACCCTTACTCACACAATATCCTACCAAGGACTTACAGTAGGTCACGTGTCCACTATCAGCTTGCCTCACACCCTATCACACAATATCCTACCAAGGACTTACAGTAGGTCACGTGTCCACTATCAGCTTGCCTCACACCCTATCACACAATGTCCTACCAAGGACTTACAACATGCCACGTGTCCACTGCCAGTTTGCTCCCCGCCGAGGATTTTCAGTAGTATGCATCAATATTAACTTTGAATATACCTTATTGATATATACTGTCAATATAACCTATCAGTATTTACTGCCAATGCACTTCATCAATATTTGCTGAAATTTTGCTCTATAACTCTAACAACATTTACCGTCAATATCCCCATCAATATGTATGTAAATATTGTAAATATAACATTACTATGTATCGTCAATATATCAATTAGTATTTGCCGTCAATATAAGTTGCCAGATATACACAGCCCATATACTGTATCGAAATATAACACTGTAATGTGATATATTACGTCAATATATACCAAAGGCATACTCCATCAGTATGTGCCGTCGTTTCAAGCTGCCAATGTCCACTGTCAATAAGCTCTATCAGTATTAACCGTCAATGTACACTATCGAAATTCAGTATCACAATAAACCGTCAATATACACATTCATTATGCGCGATAAATGTCTACATTCACAAGTACAATATATGCAGTAAATACATACCATCAATCACTGTACACTTACAACTGTCAAGGCCATTAACGGAATCGCTCGCCATACAAATACACTACAACCGGTGCCTCTTAACGACGCATGAACCTCCCACACTCTCAGCTGTGAGTAACAGTCTACATTAGATGAACGTAGAAGAAAAACAACAGAATCCTCCGAGTATCCCAAAGATGACAAAATTATGCCCACTATAAATCTGACACAATCTTTATCGGTACATTCAAACAGCAAAACCAATTGGAAACATAATAGATTCCTCCGAGTATCACAATGATGACAAATGATGTCCACTTTAAATCTGACACCATCTTTATCTGTGAAAGTACATTTTAGTTTGCTGCTGTTTATGACGGCACAAAACAGTAGGATCAATCGTTGGCTGTTTGCTGATACTTGAAGGTTTGAACAACTGGAATTTAGACTCACTACAAAGATTTGAATGTGTAATTAATTATCACATGTAAATTGTTCAGGCTCTGACCGAAAACAAAACAATATTCAAAGTATCAGGAAAGCATTAATCAAATAACATAGGTTCCTGAACGGTCAGTGTTGTCACAACACTTAATCTGCAACCTAGCCCTCGCCTTCAAATCAACCTTGTGTCATGTGACTCTCGGCTCTGATACCGTGTACATCCACTGGCGAGGACGTGATGACTCGTGTCAAGTTTCACACCAGAATGTTATATCAGACGCTTTGACCCCAAACTACATCTCCGTACGTCTCTCAACGACTAATATAGCGTGTGCCTCTTCCAGGGGAGGGTTTTTATGACAATGAGTCATGAAGAATAATCTGAGGTAAACCGATACCATGACATCAGTCACCAATGATGGTTTATCTACAAGATGAGCTTCGGTTTCGGGCATATGAGGAGAGACCATGAAGGAAATGAGATTAGAGTCGTTCTAGTGTCCTCGACCTTTACAAGCTAAATATGCCCAATGAGCGGCAATGCGCTGTGTTAGGACATTCTGTGTTAGTTTTGTTTAACGCCCCTTTCAATATTCTGCTGAGGAACACCAGAAATGGCTTCACACATTGTACCCATGTGGGGAATCAAACCCGGGCCTTCATCGTGACGAGCGAACGCTTAACCACCGCCCTTAGAACAATCAGCCACACAGATAACACACAACTCTATGGAAAACAACTTCAGGGTGCCGTTGTACAAAACAACATATACTAAGGTTACAACTTAAGGAGATAATGTAATCTTAGCGCTAAGGCTGTTTTGGACAATGACACCGTGGTGTGTTGTATCTGGCGATGTTTCGATGTGGATCTGTATCACGTTATCACTGGTTAACGTCACCCCGGCCTGATAACGGTTAAAATCTACATCGAAACGTCGATAAATGCAGCAGCATGTTTTCAGTTTTATTTACCAACTTCCATAATACTAATCAAACATTCTGGCACGGTTGTCATGTATCGCATTTCCAAAGGTCGAGACCTCTAGATAGCTGGAATGTTTGCTGTATTCCATAATCACCTGTCTTCAAACCAGATTCCTTCTTCTTCAGTGGCTTGTTCCACTTCCCACACTGTGAATGGACAATATCAGAATTGATCACATCCTCCAGAGAATCATGTTAACGTTTTTTCTTGTTACAGTTTTCTTCATTATTTTCTAGAAGGATGGACATGGTGTCGTCTTCAAACAAACGACGAGAGTAAAAGACTTATATTTCAAAAGCCACGGTTTTATTGGAAATATATGTTCATTGTCGAGTGCTCATCTTCCAACATCTGATTAGGTTACAAAATTCGATAACATCCTCTTTAAGCTGCATCTTAAAATGTCACAGTGTGGTGCTGCAAGTTATGACTCAACTTTATGGCCGTGACGGTATTGAATTAATGGATATATCTGTAACGGTTGCCAAAGACCAGGCTCATCACTAAAGTACCTCCTTGATAACAGCGATATAAAATAGACCGTCTCCATTATGTCTGTTTACCACCAAGACTACAAACCGTGGTTGCAGCAAGATATCTTTGAACATTGAGATTTAACTAAGATATATTTTCAATTATGGTTGTCTTGATTGATCATAATGAGGTTTATCAAGTCGACAAGCAAACTGGTGATGAGGCACTAAAACGGTACTCGTCACATAAGTTTAGTTCCCTGTGCAAAACCCCCCAAAGGAACATTGTGTTACGTACAAGATCGTGTTCGGGTGAGCAAGTGCACGTTTCAGTGACCCAAGTGCAGGTGCTTGGTTTCATTATACCCAATGAACATAGGATAATGTCATTCATGACATGGCTATGAGAACAGTGAACCATCGCATAACCGTGAATAGCGAGTAGTTAAAATTTATATAGTGACTATAAAATGTATAAACGAAATAGAAACAAACTTATGTACTTACCTGTCTGCAAAGGATAGTAAAATTACTAGTCTATCACAGATTTATACTTAAAACTAGCATATAACCATTAAAAACTATCTCTATTTTTAACAGTACAATATAAAAATGGGCCACAGATCGCAAACAACTAAAGGTAGATCACCATACTAGAGACCATGGGGACTTCTAGTACCTTTGCTACCTGCATGGACCCTAGCTGGATTTACACAATCCCTTCAGATGTTAGCGATTTTAACAAATTTAGCCATGAATTAAATGAACACATATCCTACGATTCAAATCATGATACGAATATATGTACTTTGAATGACGTGGTCTTGCGCTAACCGTGAATATGATGAGTAAGTGAGTTAGTGTTGTTTTACGCCTCAGTCAGATTTAACAGGAAGAGGTAGGGGGTTCATCCTCCGTACTGGCGAGCAGGTCAGCTTGTCCCTTTCCTGGTTACATGTAACATATATACTTCTAAATGTAGCCATCTCTTTGGTCAGTTGCAGGCTTGTAGAATAGACATCTGCTGGTATGTATATAATTACGCCAAAATGTTGAATTTTGCCTCACAAGTGAACCTATTGGCACTTGGTATTGATACAGTGAGTTTTAATAGCGGTTTCAACCTAGACTTTCTCACAAACAAATACCTAAAATTCACCTTTTTCTTATGAAACCGTAATGATTCATTAGTTTAATGATCTGGACCACTTTCAACCTTTTGTATCGTGCTGTAAAGAACATCCAAGACCCGAACATTCCGGTACATCTCTAGAGTGCACATGTAGCATACATCCATTAGTTGAGTAGGAAGGAGGAACACGGCGCACACAACACACGAAGCATTGCCAGTGTGTTACTGCGAGCTGTATAACAACGAGTCTGAGAGAGGCACACTTGTGGTTGCAGTAGGAGCACCCGACGTCGGGGCAGTGTGACCTCGAAGGATCACACTGTA